ATTGTGTTTAATGTTTTTACACTGTTTTTTTATTTGGCCGTCCTGGAGCCTGGGGACTTATTAAGAAAATGAACAGTCATTAATTAGTTTATCTCTTAGACTCAGAGAATCTAAGGCGGTACCCATTGTTCTTGTCTGTTACCCCTTGCTGATGCTGTGCCTATATATACCACTATTTGTGATAATAAAGCCAGTTCTTGTCCCCGGAACCATGTGTCTTCTAGTGTCTGTGGGGAGCCATAATCACTAAAGTGTGACTTTCCCCTGGAAGAAGAAGAAATAGATGGAGGTACTTAACCTGAGGATTGGGCTCCGTAACAATTTATATCTTTACATTTTAAGTTGATCTTATTGGTCTCACACGCCCACATCCCCAAACAAATGGTGTCCCCAGAAAGCTCTTTTCTGAGCGTACACTGTGTCCAAAAGTTCACTTTGCACTTACCTTGAATTCTCATTTTAGTAAATAACACTGTAAATAAATTGTGTGAGCAGGCTAAAAATGTCTTTTTTCTATGTAAATAGTTGAACCTGATGGCTTTGTGGATATTACTTTGTAATGTAAAGCCTCTGCCACGTGTTCTTGGAGGGGCCTGCTTGCCAGCCTCTTGCCAAAAGACTATGGGCCCTTTAAAAACTACAGTGTGACAAACGCTGCTTTCCACAGACATTTGCCACGGACTCCTGGAAGAGTGTGGAAGCTGGCCTCCTGTCCACCTACTATGGGCCTGGTCAGCGACTGTAAAGACCCATATTTTATTCCCCCAGGTTCGGCACTTTCCATTCGTGCGCATAGAACCGAACGCTTGGTCCCAGGCAGCCGTTCGCATGGACCAAAACCACGGAAAAACTTCAGGGGGACTTAGCCGCGAATGCCCTGGAACTATTTTCGGCATAAAGACTTTGCGGTTCCCGGGATTCAATGGAACTGTTTTGGGCATGAGACCATGTGTGCGGTTGGTCAAATTATAACTTTCAGGAAAATCCTGATCCCCTGAACTAATCTGGGTGATTTTTGGCTATGTTGGTCACCCAGATCGGGGCTATCAGGAAATGTAACTTTTAGGGGGGGTTTATGTATTTTTAAAGTACCCTTGGGAAATATGTGTTTTTTTGTGCCTTAAGATAATTGAGTTTTGTATACCCTTTTCCAAATTATTATGCAAATTCTATTTAAGTGTCACAAAGGTTAAATATTTTGTTTTTCAGTTAAACTCATGGATGGCATTGTGTCTCAGGGCTCTTTTAATTACTGAAAACAATCTCAGACACCTGTGATAATTAGATTGCCAGGTGAGCCCAATTTAAGGAAAAACTACTAAAGGAGGGTGTTCCACATTATTAAGCAGAGCACCATTTTCATGCAATATGGGGAAGAAAAGGGATCTGTCAGCTGCCGAAAAGAGTGAAATAGTTCATTGCCTTGGACAAGGTATGAAAACATTAGATATTTCACGAAAACCTAAGCATGATCATCGCACTATTAAGAGATTTGTGGGCACAGACAGGTTTGTGTAGATAAAGGCACATTGAGGAAGATTTCTGCCAGATCCATGCATCGGATCAAGAGAGCAGCTGCTAAAATACCATTACATAGCAGCAAACAGATATTTGAAGCTGCTGGTGCCTCTGGAGTCCCACGGACATCAAGGTGTAGAGTCCTCCAGAGTCTTGCAACTGTGCATAAACCTTCTATTAGGCCACCACTAACCAATGCTCACAAGCAGAAATGGCTGCATTGGGCAGAAAAATACATGTAAGACTAATTTTCAAACAGTCCTGTTCACTGATGAGTGCCGTGCAACCCTGGATGGTCCAGATGGATGGAGTAGTGGATGGTTGGTGGACAGCCACCCTGTTCCAACAAGGCTGCGACGTCAGCAAGGCGGTGGTGGAGTCATGTTTTGGGCCAGAATCATGGGAAGAGAGCTGGTCGGCCCCTTTAGGGTCCCTGAAGGTGTAAAGATGACCTCTGCAAAGTATGTGGAGTTTTTGACTGACCACTTTCTTCCCTGGTACAGAAGGAAGAACTATGCCTTCCGTAATAAAATCATCTTCATGCATGACAATGCACCATCTCATGCTGCAAAGAATACCTCTGCATCAATGGCTGCTATGGGGATAAAAGGAGAGAAAGTCATGGTGTGGCCTCAATCCTCCCCTAACCTCAATCCTATTGAGAACCTTTGGAGCATCCTCAAGCAAAAGATCTATGAGTGTGGGAGGCAGTTTACATCCAAACAGCAGCTTTGGGAGGCTATTCTGACATCTTGCAAACAAATTCAAGCAGAAACGGTCCAAAAACTCACAAGTTCAATGGATGCAAGACTTGTGAAGCTGCTATCAAATAAGGGGTCCTATGTTAAAATGTAACATGACCTGTTAAAATGTTTAAAAAGTTAAAATGTTGTTATAAGTTTGATTGAAATAGCTTTTGATTTCAGTAAATATGCTGCAAACACAACAAATGACAATTTTCAGTTCTTTACAACCTATAAAGTGTTTTGAAACTTACTGTGCGTAATAATTTGGAACAGTGCATTGTAAGTTTTTTATGTTTAAAAAAATACTGTTATCATTAGGAGGTTTGTTCAATAAAATTTGAATTGTACTCTTAATAGTTGATAACATGAGAATTATGCTGACTGTTATTTACATCAATTATTTAGATAAATGAGAAAAATATAATTTGCATAATAATTTGGAACAGGGTGTACAGTCCCTGACTCAGTTATCTCCCAGGCACAGAGGAGAGATTATATTGTTTTATCTGGGAGTGTCCTGGACCTAAGAGCCAATGTAATAATGTGTATGTTTTTAATGTAGTCTACTCTCAGGTCCCCCTTGCATGGGGGCCTGCATGTTATGCCAGTTGTGGCTGCCAATAAACGAGTTCCAGTTTAACCTCAACACAGAGCCTCGTCTCGTGATTGTAGGGGAAAGCTATACTAGCTATAATCCCTGCTCCTGGGATTGTAATTTAGATTGCTATAATCACTAGCTCTTGCAAGAACTACACTGCTATATCTGCTATACTCTCTTGGGGGAGAGGTCTTCTCACTGGGAGATGGATCCAAGAGTTTGGTCATGGGAGAGAAGGGACAGCGAGATCCCAGCCAAGCTGCGGCGGCTAAGGGGCTACAGTGCTTATGGTGTCCGGTGCGGTGCTTATGGTACTCGGCGACAGCTAGGAAGCATCGATTGGCGGAGGTACCCAGTCGGGGTGCCAGGCGATCTGTCACAGCCACCATGTGCTGAAAGAAGGCTGCATTACAGCAGTTTTTACACTGCCTGGTTTAGCATATTTGCAGTTCATGATGCTCGTAGATTGCTCAAATTTTCTATTTATTTTATCTATATGAATGCAATTTAGCTAAATGATGAGAGTTTCCAAAAAAAAGATTAATTGGGTTTATTAATGCCTTAAGGACAGAGCCAATTGTACACGTTCTGAATAAAAAAAGAAACTAGAATTTGAGCTATACGGTTTTCAACCATAATTCACATACTTCATATTAGGTGCACCAGCACTTATTATATAGCATTTTGTTCAGGAGAAACTGCTTTCATTTAACATCAAATATTTATATTTGGAACACAATTCGATATGAATAAAATCTAAAACTGCGAGAGAAATTAAGAAACATTATTTTTTTAGTTCTACGTGGTATTTTAAATGTAAATGTCATAATACGGTTAGCTTTTACAGAAATAAAATACACATATTTGTATGCTGTGATTTCCAGAGTACATCGATGCCCCCATATACAGGTTTTATGTGATTTTGGGACCAAATAAATAGATTTCCCAGGCCAGTTTTTACACATTGAAATTTGCCAGCTTGGTTCCCGGAGCCTATGTTGCCTTTGATACCGTACGACACCTGGAAAGAGAATTACCCCCATCATGGCATACCATCATGGCAAAAGTAGACCGCCCAGTGTATTCAAAATGGGGTATGGCCAGTCTTTTTTAGTAGCCAGTTTGTCAGAAACTATGGCCAAAAAGTGTTCATATTAGTTTTTTGGATTCTTCAAACAAAACTGCACTTACTGATTATATCATCACAATATATTTTACTGCTATAAAAATGTAATATTTTTGTTCAGCAATGTCTCACGAGTACAACGTACCCCCCATGTAAATGTTTTATGGAGTTTTGGAAAATTACAGGGTCCATTACAGGGCTTGCAAATTACATTTTCTGGTATTCGTGTCTGCATTGTCTGGCAGGTCCCCCAATATATAATTAATAAATAATGTATAAAATACATATAGCTTATCATTACTATTATTAGTTATATCCTGGGGGATCTGCCTGACAACCCAGGAAGTCGTCCTGCCGTCAATCTGTCAGTCACGCCTGTCCGAGTCATGCGATTGTAGTGTCAGATCAGCAGGTTTGGCTGCAGGGGGACTTCATCGGTTGTCAGAGAGGCCAACCAATCAGATCTGCTGAGGTGGGTAATTATCCTGACTGTAGAGAGGGCACAATCATTATCACATGCTATCCATTTATAAAGTTAATGTTACAATGTAAAAGATGCCCAAGGCTGCTTATTTTGATATTCGCAGTTGCATGGAGAAACGCCCCTACGCATTTCCATCCTCCCCCCAGTCTATCTCGAGCCTTGGGCTGCAAGCATACCATTTCAAACAAAAAAGTAACCACCTGGATATGCATATACAGCGCTACGGAATCTGATGGCGCTATATAAATAATAAAATAATAATATATAAAATGGCTGCCATGTTTCTTATGTGCAGGAAATGCAAACAACAGTTGTCTGCTTAAAAAGCAATATGTCTGCTCGCTAGAACATTACTGTTGTTAAAATATGTTAGAAAATGTCTGGTTCTGACAATAAATAGGTTTTTTGTTTCTAAAACTCAATACATTTTATAACACAAACCTTGCTTTTTTTATATCACCAGAGAACATGTTCACTCTGCAAGGGAACCATTCACGCGATGTGAGATTTAAAGATTCTATTTTTTTATTCATATATTTTTAGCACGGTAACATAAAAGATACAAAATGTTGTGATATTTCACATCCTGGATTATGAGGTAGTAAATGAGCAGTCTAGGCACCCACCAATGTAGTGGTTATGGTATTATTATGCCACAGACGCTGTCCCCTCATTTTTGGTTACACTGTTTGAGTGGTTTGATGAATGCTGGGGGTCTCCACGGCACCTCTTCCTCTGCTTGGCTATTGGTAATGTGGAAGATCCACCTCCACATCATATTAGAAATATTAATCTCATCCACGTTCTAAAGGTATTCACTGACTGAGCGTCCCGGAGGACCATCTATACACAAACACACACGCTTTGATTCTCTACAGCAGGGACCAGCAACCTTTGGCACTGTAGATGATATGGACTACTTCTGGACTACATCTTTGTCAGCATTATGGCTGTAAGAGGATTATGGGAGATGTAGTCCACAGCATCTGGAGTGCCAAAGGTTGCCTACCCCTGCTCTACGGAGCGGCACTTACTGGCTTAAAAAATGGCATTGACTCCATGTACAGACTGACTGGCCACACACATTCTCTCTACATACGCAGTATTAAATACACACGTATACACACACTCTCTACACATACACACACTCTGTAAACACATGCCCTCTACATGCATACATAGATCCTATTAACCCATACCATGATGCTACACATCATGAACTAGCCCTTTATGAATTTGCCCTGAATGACTACATACATGCACCATCCCTCTACACACATACTATGATCCCTACACAAGTAGGCTTGCCTCTTACATTTATTCAACTGTAAAGTATATTTAGCCTTAAAGAGATCATATAGTGCCAGGAAAACAAAGCCGTTTTCCTGGCACTATAGAGTTAGTAGGTCCCCCCTCCCTCGCGACACTCCTCCCGTGGGAGGAGTTAAAACCCCTTCAGCCACTTACCTGAATCTTGCGCCGATGTCCCTCGGCACTGGGTCAGGCTACGTCCACAGTCCTAACCCACCGATGGCAGGGGAGACCTAATGCGCATGCGTGGCAATGGCCGCGCGAGCACATTAGACCTCCCCATAGTAAAGCATTATTCAATGCTTTCCTATGGTGAAAATCTGACACTGGAGGTCCGTGAGGACGTCCAGCACCAGATAACGGACCAAAAGTCAGTTTGGATTCCAGAAGCGCCCCCAGTGGCTGTCTGGCAGAAAGCCACTGGGGGCAGACTTAGAGCTGCAATGCAAACATTGTTCTCTGGAACTGCAATGCTTAACACTGCAGCACTAAGTGCAAAAGGGAGACAGCAACGAGACCACTTCAATGAGCTGAAGTGGTCTGGGTGCCTACAGTGTCCCTTTAAACTAAATGCACATGCAGTTCCTATTTAAAAAGCACACGCACTGAAACTGTATGGAAACACTGCCAAAGTACACATATACACACAACATACACATATACACCATTACATTAAAACAGATTATTCTTCTAATAATTAAGTTCTCTAGTTATTCACACCTGGCTTCATGTTTTTCTGCTTACGTTCCCTTAACCATTAAACCAACCATGGTCTACTTTCATAATCAATCACTTGGCAGTTATACAAAACTCATCAATCCTGGGAACAACTTTCACCCATGCATCATTTACTATCCACAATGCAACATGAAGCGGCTCAGTGAAGGTGTAAGTTATGGTGTGTAAGTGTCTGATTGGGTCACACAGCTCATAGAAGGACAGCCGCCCGGCCTCGTAGTCCAAGGATATTCCTAGTTTCTGACAGGATGGGCTATGAGGTAAATGGATCCCTTTACTGTTATGCCTCACGGAGTACTGATTATACCATCTCCACAAACACCAGGACTTCTTATTATATCCAAGAAGTGACTTAAAGCCTTTTCTGTCCACACTGGGATAGGCCATACCGATCCTCCAACCATCTGATTCACTGGTCTCCAATTCCCAGTAATGTTGTCCTGAGTCAAAACTCCTGGTGCTTAAGACTTGAGGATAATCCTGAAATCTCTCTGGTGTTTCTGGGCGACTCTTTGCTATTTCAGACCACAAGGCAGTTTTCAGGTCACTCGATAAAGCTATGTGGTTACTCGCTGTATTTATATCCATGACTATGTCTGCAGTAATTTTTACACCCAGTAAAATGTCCGAAGATTCGGTTGAGTGGAACTTTCTCTTTACACCAGTCACAATATCAACTAAGCCTGTGTGCAAGGACAATGAGATCAGGCTTACATCTAGATCCCCTTCAGTATGGCTATTTTGATAATCTATCTCTCTGTCCCTGTCACCTTCCCCCTCAGTGTCACAATAGTCAGCACTGTCTAATTCATTTTCCTGTGAGACAGTTAATGGGTCCGTCATGTTACCCAGGTCCTCAATGTGACCCATCTTCCTGGACAGCTCCTCCTTCTTAAATTCCAGCTTCCGGGTTAGATCTGAGACTCGGAGTGAGACCTGCTCTTCTTGCCTGGAGATCTCACTCAGGACTCGCTTCTCCAGGGCTTCCAGTTGCTCTGTGATATCCTTTATAATGGCAATGACTTTCCCTGTTTCACCAGCCGCTTTCTCTTGCACTTCCCTTTTAAACTCCTGTAATTTCTGGACTTGTATCTCAGTTTCTTCTCTCTTTAAAGTCAGTTTTTCTAGAATAATTTTCAGCTTATTCTTATTCTTCTCACAGATCTCATGCATTGCCTCCATTTGGTGCCCACCTTTTCTACAGGATGCATCAATACTGGCAGCATCTCCAGAGCAGCAGTCTAAGTCCTTCTCATTATCCAGGCATTTTTGACTCCCCAAGCAAGTGGTGGGTTCAGTTAATACATGTTCTTGTGATTTGTTGTGTTTTATTAAATGCTTGTTACACAAAGAGACTTCACAATGCAGACACGTTTTAGCTGCAGGAAAAGGGAAGTCACAGTAGGTACAGAAAACCTTCACCTGCATCTGCTCTGGGTGAACCGATAGGAAACTCTCCGCTATGTTACACAGTTTCCTGTTTTTCTCCAGTGCCGGACGTTCCTGAAACTCAACTCTGCACTCAGGACAGGTATAAACTCCAGATCGGTCCTGTGTGTCCAGCACATCCCCGATACAGACCCGGCAGTAGCTGTGTCCACATGTCAGGGTTACAGGATCTGTATAAATACTCAGACAGATGGAGCAGGTCAGCTCGTCTCTCAGATCAGCAAACGCCATCACGGGAAGCAGCAAGGAGGACTGGAGAGCTGAGTTCTATTCACGAATAATTATTAGTGTTAATCTCTTTCCACTGGGTGTGGTGAGTGGACTTTAGCTTTCTGACTGCTGAAAGATATCATCGAGGTCATGCTGCTGTGGAAAGCCTGTGAATTACCTCAACCCCAGCAACACAAATATAGTGTGAAAGAGATTCTTTGAAAGTTTATGTGTATTTAACAAACTGATGCCATAGTTTCCATTGTGAGGAATCATAAAAATACCATCTGGGAAACGTGGAAACCCTTAGTCCAACCTAATCACATTACGTGTCATTTATTTGGGTATAAATGGATAAACAGTGGCACTGGTTAGGTAGGTTAGACTTGGTAAAAGCTGCTGCATCAGTCGAAACATTGCTTTGTGCACCTAATAAACTCCACTGGGTATAATCTGAAGAGTCTGTCCCAGCTTGCACGGTTTACTGACTTGTACTCCGCTGATTTGGGGACAATACCAGGACCTTACTAGCACCATAGCCAGCAGAGCAGGCTGTAGTGCTTTTGGTAGCAGGAGTGTCCTTGTGCACCCCATTTAGTAACCGTTTGACTTTTTACCTGGGTATTGCTGGCTGCTCCCCACCTCCTCTCAACCTTCGGAAGAGCCAGAAATTCCTGCTTAGCAGCTGTCATTAGCTTTCCTGAGCTCAGCCGGGCAATGCTTAGAGGAGGGACACTCACCCTCATTGATATTAGAGAGACCGGGGGAGAATAACATCTACAATATCTTTTATATTAAAGTCTATGGCCATTACAACGCTACAAAGTAATATATTAATGCATGCTACCACATCTGTAAAGTGGTTTGTCTTTTATGACAGCCATCCTTTAAGGACTGACAGTGTATCTCAAGCAGCGGCGTACATACAGGGATCGCAGCTGCGACTGGGCCCGTCACTCCAGGGGGCCCGGCTGCCCTGTGGACCCCTGCGACCGTGTGTTGCGGTCCGGCACGCGCGGTTTAACCACTGGGGTGGGTGGCCATGGATCGTGTGTACGCCACTGATCTCAGGCAGTCTGTGAAATCAGCTCTTCTAGAACAGAAGTGGCTCCAACATTGTCTTTATAGTATCTAACAGCATGCATGCCAAGTGTCCCTTTTTAGGAGGAACAGTCACTATTTTGGGCCCAAAGCCCCTGAAATAATTCCCTCTTTTCTATCCTAGTGTCTTAGAATTTATTTAATCTTTTCCCCTTTTGTATTTGTTTATTTTTATTTGTAAAATAATGATTTTGTTATACCAGTATATCGATGTGGACGTTGTTTTTACATCCCGGTTGTTGGTTTATAGTCAGTGCTTTGATTATAATTGCTGCCTGGCATGGGCAGTCTAATCATTGCCCTGAGTGTACGTGGTATGTCACTTCATGTGAATGGAATGCCGCCAGTCACTCAGAGGGCCTGTCCATCCTCACTCAGACCCTGGGGAGATAGCGAAGCTAAGCGGACAAGGGCACATGTAGGAGTGTGGGGATAGATGCAGGGGATTGGATGGGTAAGAGTGTGTGGGTGGGGTTAGGTTTAATGTGAGTTAGTGTGGGGGAGGTCTTACCTCAGTGCCACTTGGGATTCGGGCCAGCAAACAGCTTCTTTTCCTCCAGCTCCTGTTTGCCTGGGCCTGCAGATTGACACAGCTTGAGGGATGGAGGTTGAGGCTTTCTGGCTTCCCTCAGGGCTGCTGCAGCGTGGATGGTGGCCGGCAACTCCTGATTCAGGTGCTCTCCTCTCCTGGATCCTCTCCCCTGGGGATGGCTGCTAGATTGGGTGCTCCCCCCTCCGCAGCCTGGGTCTCTCTGAAGCCCTCCCTGTGGACCCTGCCCCCCCCACCCCTGGGTGGCTGCCGGTGTGGGTTCCCCCCGCAGCCTGGCTTAATCCATCTAGGGCCTTCCCGGTGGCCCCTGCTCCTGGGGGCCGCGATGGTGCCGGCTGGCATTCCTGCCTGCCAGCTCCGCTACCCTCTCCTGATGCTGCTCCTCAGGCCCGGTTTAGGAGGTGGAGCCCGGGCCCGAGGCTTCACCCGGCTGCGTGTCTGAGGCTTGCGGCCTCCCCCTCCTGCAGCCGGATCATGGGCTGCGGCCTCCGGCGTTGGGAAATTTCAAATAAATAAATAAATAAAACTGAATGAATACATGAATGTGAGATAAAGGATCCAAAAAAAAAAAAGAAATCCTGACTGAATACCTGAATAGAATGAGAAAAAAGATTCACAAAAAAAAATAATAAAAAAATAAAAAGAGAGAGGAAAACGGTACCTGGACACCGCTTACCCGGGAGTCCACTCCGGTTATTTAACACCCCCCTTTTATCAGTATTTATCATATGTTATAGTACAGTTTCCTGCAGCGTCCTGCGCAGCTAATGGCGCTGGCGTTGCCTCCCAAGAGGCGGGCGGTTAGGATGGCTCTGGACGCTGCTGCGGGGCGCTAGTATGGCCTGCTTGACTTGCGCGTGTCGCGTAATACTAGGGAGCAGTGGTGAGGGTTTTTTTTTCTTAGTGATATGTTCCCTCATGCCGTGGGGGGCCCCGTGCTTGGGAGGGACTCCTGGTGGGGTGTGGGGGAAAAAATACCGTAATCGGTTGCACCCCATAGCGCGCGAGGAGTGTGTCAGGGCATTGTATGTTATGTATAGCATTGTCGAGGAGAGGGCTCCCCGGGTATGCTCCACGTTGTTCTGCTGTCAGGACACTCTCTGGGACGCGTGTCGTTCCTAGGGTGAGCTGGGTTGGTGGGAATTTGCAGACGGAAACTGGGGTCCTCGTGCCGTTCCAGCACGAGGGTTCTGGTCGCAGGGGGGCCCATCCCGTCCCCTGCGTTTTTTTTCATGCAGGCAATCTGTCGGGATAGGGGACGGGAGGGCATGACACAACGGTCCACGTGGTTAGGGCTGCAGGGCTCTGAGGCCTTGCTGAAAAAGGCAGCAGTGGAATCGGATTTCCGGCTGCTGCCGATGCGCCCGGCAGGTTATTGTTTTCCGGGCCGTATTTCTGACAGTCAGTGTTACGTGGCAATGTGCCTCCGCACAGGTGGCTCTTAATGTTGCTTATGTGTGGGGCCGACAGTGTCACACGTTGCGCTCTGCTGCTGTGGTATTTTCTTGGGGTAGTGTTTTGGCAGTTGCCTGTCGGTGTTGCCCTTGGGGCGGTATGGGGTTTTCCTTTTGGGCCTCCATTAACGGTGGCTTGTGCAATCAGGCCCCCTAAGTCTCTTCTACTGACTTCCACCTGTTGCCGCTGCAGCGGCTTTGGGGTTTTTTGGGGCCTATTTGGTTTTTTTCCATGGTGTGCTGACTCTTGCTCAGTAAGCTGGCAAGCATCGGGACTCTTGCAGACTCTGGCTGTTTTGGAGCTTCCCCATTCTGGTGACATGGTAGGCGTGGGGTACCCAACTCCCAGACAGGTGGGTAGTCCTTCCATTGAGACAATCGTGGGGTGGTGCAGGCTGTCTACATCATGTGGCAGTACCCTCTACCCTGGTGATACCCTGGTTGCGGCACCTGGCTCGGCGCTGCTTGAGTCTGGAAGTGTCTGGTCAGGCGGGGTTTTTCCCGTGGGTTCTATCTTGTTAACGGTAGGACGTACTTCAGGCGGGGGGCTCCGCGGGGCCAAATTATAAGGCAGTGGAGACATGGTAGTTCGGTCTAGCGGACTGATGAAGCGGGTCCATGGATCAATCTCTGAGGCGGCGTGGGGCCCGCTACAGTAAAGTGTGACCGTTCGGGCCGGATGAGAAGCATTTCCTTGGCGGCTTCTCGTTCATGTTACGGTCATCTGCAGGTAGGAAGGGGTTTTGGTGGATCGAGTAAGCATCGGAATGGACTTCCTTCAGGCTTTTGCCGCTCGACGGCTGTTGTATTAGATGGAATGCACAGGGTAATGGTTAGGCTCCTAACAGGATGTCCTAGGTTCCCAGGATAGTTGGAAATATACCATTCCAATTAGGGGGAACGCCGGGTTCCGACATGTGTCCTGTTTTCATTCGGTGAAGGCTATTACGCCCCTGGGTTATTCGGCCTCCTCTCCCCTTGTTTGGTTCTCGAAGCCGGGTTTTCTCGCCTGCGTCCATGTCGTTGGGGTGCTCCAGTTGGGGCTAGAATTCCTGGGTAAGGATGGTGGAGAGTTCAGGGGGCATTCAGTCCGGTTAGGGGCGGCTACAGACGCCGCCACGCTGGGCGTGCTTGTGCCACTGGTTCAAAGGGCTTGAATGGTGGGGGTTTGGGTGGTAGGTTCCTTGGGTTCACCCTGCCGGTCTCCAAATGGATTTCTCTCCGTGGTTACTGTTTCCTCCCCCCGGAATAAGGAGGGTGGGATGCTCAGGTGTCATTGGGACAGGAGGCGGGGGGCGAGTGGTTGGATCTTACGGCTTCGGGAGCAGCGGTTCGGTGGTCTGGCGCCAGATACATGAGGGGGTGTGGCTCCTCCTCGTCCAGGGTCAGCTGTCCCGCCTCCCAGGGGTGCCGGGGGTTTTGGCATCTGTCTGGGTGGAATGACCTTGCTTCAGTGGCTGTTTGGGATTTGGGTGCTCTTACATCTGGACATGTTACGCATTCTGTTTCTTCCCAGAGGTTCTCAGGGGCCGGGCTGAGGCTATCGCCCATTCCTGTTGGCAGTGCGCTCCGCAATGTGAGTGCCCTGGTGCGCTGCCGTTGGGAATCGGATGAGATAGGTTTCTAGGTTTGTCTTGGGGGATTCCGGTTCACCTTAGGGTTTGGCCGGATGTGGCGTAGTTATCTCGAGGGGATGGGTGCGCTTGCTGGAGGTCGGACGAGGACTATGTTAATGGTGCACTGAGGAAGACTCCAGCTGGAGTTGAAATGTGGTTGCTGCTAGACTAAAGTATTGTATCTGGGACTTTTCTTATTTCCTCTGCGGTGTTTTATTTGCGCTTTGTGCCTGGTATATTTTACTATTTATACTCTGCTTATTCTCCCTGTTTTAATTGTTTCTTTGTTCAATAAATTTTGGATTCTGCACTTTGTATCCTGTGCTGCTCTCCTCAAGGATATTGTTTTAGCCTTTTTAGGCACCCTCCTGCACATTATATAGAGCCTGGGACAGCTCTAAATCCTGTGAGTTTTACTCTACATAAGGGGTCCATAGGCGTGCGCACGGGCATTGGAAAGGTATGATTTTTATAACGAGGGGGGAGGTGAGAGGAAGTGGTGATTAGGAACCACTGTATGTTTATTGGCAAGGACGGTTGGGTCACTGTATAACACTATGTGTGGAGTTATATATGTATATATGTTAATTTATGATTATTTATGTCTAACGTTTTGGTTACAGAAAAAGAAGAGATTTAATAAATAAAGTTATGGATGTGTTATGCAATAATTTAGTTTGTGATAATAAATGCTGTGGCCTGTTTCATCCATACTAAGTGGTCTGTCATTATTGGGGGGTTGAATGGGGTTAGTTTTTGTTCTGGGCTGCATCGCATTCCCCACTACGTACATACATGTAATTTCTGTCTTATCTCACTGCGATCATGCTCCCTCAGTAAAACACTCTCATGTACTTACAGAGCAATAAAACAATAAATCTATCGATCTTTGATGTAAAGTTAATCATTTGTTTTTCTTCCCCACACAAATCGCAAGCGTTTAAACCTTTATCAATACTTTTTGATTAGAAACCCATATGTAGAGTACACAAATCATATCAATTTAAAAGTGTTGTGATTACATACCTACCAAGTGTCCTGATTTTAGTTGGGCAGTCCTGATTTGGAACGCGGCACCAATCTGAGTTATTCTGCTGGTGTCTTACTTGTCACATTAAAGTGCATCATTCAGCATGCGTGTGGACACATGAGAGCACCTACAGTATGGTGGAGTGTATCTACAGCACTATACAGATGCCAGGCTCTGGTTGGCAGGATAGCAATATGGATACCAACTTGTCAATAGCCCACCACACATTAATGACACTTCCATGGTGACTTTATTTACTTCATTGGAAAGCCCCTTTTTGCACCCTGCCCCACCTGAATTCAGGATGTATCCATACCTCTCGTCCCAAGTGTCCCTATTTAGGTGGGATAGTCCCTATTTTGGGACCAATTCCCTCTTTTCTATCCTAATGTCCTTCTTTTCATGGAGTTCCATATTGCTGGTTTGTGTGAGTGTATAACAGAGCTCCACAGCAATAATACTCCCAGTAATGTGTCTGAGTGTATAACAGAGCTCCACAGCAATAATACTCCCAGTAATGTGTCTGAGTGTATAACAGAGCTCCACAGTAATAATACTCCCAGTAATGTGTCTGAGTGTATAACAGAGCTCCACAGCAATAATACTCCCAGTAATGTGTCTGAGTGTATAACAGAGCTCCACAGCAATAATACTCCCAGTAATGTGTCTGAGTGTATAACAGAGCTCCACAGCAATAATACTCCCAGTAATGTGTCTGATTGTATAACAGAGCTCCACAGCAATAATACTCCCAGTAATGTGTCTGAGTGTATAACAGAGCTCCACAGCAATAATACTCCCAGTAATGTGTCTGTGTGTATAACAGAGCTCCACAGCGAATAATACTCCCAGTAATGTGTCTGAGTGTATAACAGAGCTCCACAGCAATAATACTCCCAGTAATGTGTCTGAGTGTATAACAGAGCTCCACAGCAATAATACTCCCAGTAATGTGTCTGAGTGTATAACAGAGCTCCACAGCAATAATACTCCCAGTAATGTGTCTGAGTGTATAACAGAGCTCCACAGCAATAATACTCCCAGTAATGTGTCTGTGTGTATTACAGAGCTCCGTAGCAATAATACTCCCAGTAATGTGTCTGAGTGTATAACAGAGCTCCACAGCAATAATACTCCCAGTAATGTGTCTGCGTGTATAACAGAACTCCACAGCAATAATACTCCCAGTAATGTGTCTGTATAACAGAGCTCCACAGCAATAATACTCCCAGTAATGTGTCTGAGTGTATAACAGAGCTCCACAGCAATAATACTCCCAGTAATGTGTCTGATGTATAACAGAGCTCCACAGCAATAATACTCCCAGTAATGTGTCTGAGTGTATAACAGAGCTCCACAGCAATAATACTCCCAGTAATGTGTCTGAGTGTATAACAGAGCTCCACACCAATAATACTCCCAGTAATGTGTCTGAGTGTATAACAGAGCTCCACAGCAATAATACTCCCAGTAATGTGTCTGAGTGTATAACAGAGCTCCACAGCAATAATACTCCCAGTAATGTGTCTGCGTGTATAACAGAGCTCCACAGCAATAATACTCCCAGTAATGTGTCTGCGTGTATAACAGAGCTCCACAGCAATAATACTCCCAGTAATGTGTCTGTGTGTATAACAGAGCTCCACAGCAATAATACACCATTGGGATTGTGGTAAGATCTTTGCTGGAACAAAGAGGTATCCAGAAGCGACAGGAATCAGATGATCAATGTTAAAATCACTTTAACCATGTACAGATAAAAGTAAGCTGAAACAGCAGCACAACGCGTTTCGACCTTCACACAGGTCTTCCTCAGGTGCCGTCTAAGGTAACAATGACCTCCTGGCTGTTTATATACCTTACAAACACAATATAAATACATACAGGTGTGTTATTTACTAATTTAACGTATTATGGGCCAGACCAGAAATACATCGCCACACTCAAGATGGCGACGCATCCTGTTTCGGTCATACCACAGTGTAAAATGCCTCATCCAAGATGGCCAAACTTCCTTCAAACGAATACAAAACATCTGGTAATAGAAAAGGCCATAAATATTCTACCTGGATAAGCTACACCATTAATACAATAAAGAGACAAAAAAAAGTACATTAAACAGACATCATAAAAGATCTTGATTTTCTGCCGTCTGGACCAGAAGTGCGCCGCCACACACAAGATGGTGACACATCCGGTTTTGGCTGTGTTGCAATCACAAATGCCCCTTCCAAGATGGCCGTCCGTCAGTGACAATGATGTGCCCAAGTAGTATAGGAGGGCTTCAGTGTCAATCGAGGTTGTGGGCAGAATCAAGAATATCCTGTTTGTGTATATAAAAAACCACACATATTGGCTCAAAACTACAAAAATGGCGGTTTTAAAAGTTCCCACAAGGCATTGTAGTTCCGATTTCACAGCCAGTTTGTAGTGCATTGAGTCCATGATAAATCCATGTCATTTTAAAATCAAAGAAATAAGGGTGGATCTTCCCTGATCTGTAGG